CCCCGGCGGGCCAGCCCGGCCCCCGCAGCTCTCACCAGCCGTGGGGACGCTACGTTAGCTGGGCACTGCCCCAAGCTCACGCCCTCAGGGCTACTCCAGAGCAGAACAACTCCCCTCCTCACACCCATGCGACCGGCGGCCCCGCCCCCCAAGATGGCACTGTGGAGGTGAGTAGCCCGGGACCAGCTCTCAGGAGCAATGGCAGAGCCTAGCATGAGGGCGTTAGAGGCTGCCTGGCCAGCCATGGGGTGCAGTGGGGGAGCACTGGGGTGAAGCCTCCTGGCTCATGTCACATAGGACGCCAGCGTCCCCGTGTGCCTTCAAATGCAGAATTGCCACCACGTGTCCTTTTGGGGAGGGCAGGTTAGTTTCGAGGCTGTGCCCGGCTGGGGATGGACGGAAAGGTCCAAGCAGGCATGGGGCCAGCACGGACCCCCCATCCCAGGGCAGAGCCCGGCTGGCGCTGAATCAGTGCGGGCCGTGGGCCAGCCCATCGTCCTGCGCCTGGCTGAAAGTCAAATAACTCCATCCTGCCCCTTCCGGGCAGCCCCAGCTGCAGACCACCCGCGTGGGCCCCCCTCCCGCCCCAGGAACAAAAGCCGCCCCCTGCACCAAGCAGTCTAACAAGACGGAGGTTTATTTTGATGCGGAATGTTCGGACTTCAAATCATTGATCTCTAGGGGCGTTAAAAGCAGACTTACAAAAATTAAAATAAAAAGGAAGCTTGCAGCCTCTCCTGAGGAAATGTCCATTGGTTTCCATTCAGCTCTGCGGAGCCGGCGGGACGGGGCGGGGCGGGAGAACGGGCCGGGGCAGAGCCAGGTTGCGGAGCGTCCCCAATTGATGCACGCCAGGGATTGCCCCGCCCTCCGACAGTGCAACTGATCACAAAGAAAACGGGGGAGACACGGACACAGCACACGGCGACGCCAGTATATGGAGTAAGAACAGGGCTGGGTCTCCCTGCAGTCAGACCCAGCAACGGACGCCCCAGGACCCGGCACGGCCCCCAGAGCCGGGCTGACCAGGCCAGCTTTGACAAAGCCCCGTAGCAGCCAGGCCAAAGGGAACCGACTGCTGCAGCAAGTGGATCTTACCACTCTAGGCCTAGCACGGCTGGGAGGACCAGGCCCAGTAGCTGGGAGGCCAGGGCTTGCCCTGCTAGCTCCCTCCCTCCCCAACAGCAGCAGACAGCCCCATGGCCCTGCTCCCCCAGGCTGCCCATCCCTGCAGAGGGCAGGTGGAGCACAGGCACCACTCCCAACACAGACAGGCCTTGCCTCTCATCTCCCACCAAGGCAGCTCCCCCGCACAGGAGCCGGCTGGGCCCGAGGCTGCGGGACAGGTGCCGCGGGTCTGAGTCTGCAGACAGGGAGGCTCCAGGCAGAACATAAAAGTGAAGGCGACTGAGCCAAGATAAAAATCCGGGACCCTTCCACGGCGCTCTTTAAAACCAAAGATCCCGCTCCAGTAAAAGGGGCTGTGCTGCCGCCGGGCCAGCCATGGGCATGTCAACGGAGGAAACGCGCCGCATCTGAAAGCGGTGCGACCCTCCCGCGCCACGCCTGGGGCACCCCTCAGGTGCCACTCACCCCAGCTGGCAGGATTTACAACGGCCCATCTCGGCAACCCTCCCCAGCAGCAGGGCATGTCAGAAAGATCCCGCTCCAGTAAAAGGGGCTGTGCTGCCGCCGGGCCAGCCATGGGCATGTCAACGGAGGAAACGCGCCGCATCTGAAAGCGGTGCGACCCTCCCGCGCCACGCCTGGGGCACCCCTCAGGTGCCACTCACCCCAGCTGGCAGGATTTACAACGGCCCATCTCGGCAACCCTCCCCAGCAGCAGGGCATGTCAGACGAGGCCTGCCACTCGCCCGGAGCCCCGCAAGGCCCCACTAGCTCCTAGGGGCACGTCCCAGAATTCAATAGCAGCGCAAGAGGCCATCACCGACGCCAAGCCATTGCAGACGGCTGCGTGGCACCCAGCAGGGCAGCCCAGGGAGCTGCAATCAGGGAAGTGGGCAGGGAAGCGCACGTGACCTATTTAGGGAGGACCCCACGTGAAAAGCGGAGTTCCTCCGACTGCTGTGACCGAGGGACCAGGGAGGGGGGAGCTCTCCTGGGGTGTCGCTTGCATGGACATTGCGGGTTCTCTCGCACACGCGCCCGCCAGCCCTGTGCCGAGTGCGCGCTCCCGTACAAAGAATGTCACATGGACGCAGGGGTCCCTCCCCGCACAGTCCCCCAACAGGAGGAGAGGCCCAGGGAAATCCACAGCCCCATTCTGCATTCCTGGCTCCGCTTACAAAACAAAGAGAAAACAAAAGGAACACGCACGCACACGGGGAGGGAAGCTGGTTAGACATCGAAGAGAGAGAAGTTCTCCTCCTCCTGGGGTTTGCAGATCCAGCTCCCGTAGCTCATCTCCTCCAGTGCCCGGAAGAAGTGTTGCTTGGCTCCCTGGTAGGCCGTGGCTGCCGCCTTGGCCTCCGAGTAGAGCGCCAGGCGCTGCATGTCTGTGCGCCCAGTCTTGGCACAGAGGTGCTGGAACAGGGCGAACATGCTCCTCTTGGCCACGCGGGACACCTCTAGCTTTGGTCTGGGGAGGCCAAGAGCACAGACAATGAGACCCAGGGAACAGAGGGGGCAAAGAGGAATGGAGGATGAGGCCCTGCAAGCGGCTCTACGTGGGCAGAGCCCCGTGCTCAGACAGGCCCATGGCAGGAGCAGGGCTCTACACAACTCGTGGGGACCAGTGAGCAAGCGGCCCTGCAAGGCCCTGCCGCATGGGCAGGAGGCTCACGGCCCCAGAGATCACACGGACGGGTGCCAGGCTAGGGCAGAACCTTAGAGGCCAGTTTTCCAGCCAGACGAGGACAGGCCGTCTCTGGGGCGGGGGTATCTTCTGCTCTAGGGGTGGTCAGCACAAAGGGGCCACAGCCAGCGGGCAGGCAACCCCGCGGCGCCTACGCTACCAGCCCCCTGGAGACACGGTGGCACCGCATTCCACGCCTCGCACGCCCTCCCTTCCGAGTTCTCTGGCTCCTGGCTAGGAACAGGACTCCACAACCCCACTGGCAGGACCACTCCGTACGTGGGAGCGACGCAGCCGCGTCCCCAGTGACAGAGAACCACTGGCCCAGGGCCTCCTCCCCCGGGTCCTCCCACCCAGCAGGGGCAGCCCAGAGAATGGCCCCTTCCCAAGCACCCCTGCAGCCAGCCTCTTTGCTCACCCGTCTACTTTGCCTTTTGTGCCATCCAGGACTTCCACCTCGGCTTCGTCGGCAAGGCACCAGTTCACGCTGGACTCCTTGGTCTTGCCCGTCTGCCTGGCCGAGTCGTACACGCTGACTCTCCCCACCTAGGTGGCCAGAGGGAGACAGAAGGGTTGCTAGACAGACTGAGGGGGTGTGTGGTTCTCAGCACTGGCCAGGCCCTCTCATCTGGGGGACAGGGCACACTAGCAACCTGCCAGCTGCAGTCCCCACAACTGTGTGTGCAGGGCCCCCACCTGCCCTCACCCACAAAGCATCTGAGGTTTCTGAATCTCAGCGACACCAGAGGTACATGATTCCCGGCCCCGCAGAGAGACAGCTCCCCGGGCTCTGGTCAAGCCCGACCCGCATGGAACCCAGAGAGCCTGCCTACTGGCCCTTGTGCGGAGAGGAGGACAGAAAGCTGCCACGCTCACAGTACCTCGGGGTGTTTAATGCGATACGGAGCCGGGAGACTGCCTTCGAACATGCTCCCGTCCCGCGACATGCGGCAGCAGATGGCACGTGTCAAGTGACCCTGGCTGAACAGATAACCTGGGAAGAGACACGCCAGCGTTAGCAACCGGAGTAGCTGGACGGTTCGGGCAGACGCTGCACGGCTCTGCTCCGACAGCCAGAGCCGGAAAGGCTCAGGACAGCAAGACCCTTCCTTGGCATTAACACGGGAAGGGACCAGTTTTGCAGATTGACAGGAAGCTTTGGTCTCCCCCTTATCCTCACCCGCCACCCCCAAAGCAAGAGCCAGGAGAAAACTCCCCCTTTACCCCCAGTTCAAATCCATCAGGTCCCATGTGCCTCCTGACAGTGCCACTCTGCGGGGAAGGAGTTCTCCGGCACTGCCGGCAGGGCAGGGTGTCTAGGATTGCCAGATGGTTTAACCAAAAATACCAAACACCCCTTCCCCCCCACCCCAAAAAGGGGGGAAAAATTCTGTTGAGAAAAAAAGGGGGAGACCAAAGTTGTTGAGGGGGAAAAAAAATAAGGACCCCGAGAATTGTTAAGCAAAAAATGTTTAAAAAATTAAAAACCAGCATGGCCCCTTTAAGAAACACTTTTGAGGCTCTTTTGCCCTAACAGGCTGCTGGTGGCTGCTGGCCGTCTTGCCTCCCTGCGCCGGCCCCAGCTCCCCCACAGCACCCGGTCAGCACCCGCAAAATACCGGCTAGCCCGAAGGGGGCCTACCCGCTGAGGCACACTGGCTGAATGAAATGGGACAGCAGCGCCCCCTGCAGGCCAAGCACGTTCCAGCGCAGGATTTTGTCGCTGCAGGACATGGTTCGGAGCCTCTCCCCGTGCTGGATCCCGTCCCACGTCGGCACGATGTCGCTGGACTCCACAGGAATGGTGCCTTCGCCTGCGGGAGGGAGAGGGAAGCGCGTTTGCAAAGAACCAGCCAGGCCCCATAGCTACAGCCCCCTCCCCGTGCCCGCCTCCTGCGGCTCTGCGTGCAGCACCCTCGACACGGGCAGCGAACGTGCCCGTCCTTTGCCGCAGAGCTGGGGAGAAACTCCCGGCCTGCGGCCCCACGGCTCCGATTCTCCAGACAGCGATACCATGTGGAAGAGAGCCGGCCAGGCCCACGTTCGGCAGCTGGCCCTCAGCGTGGCAGGAGGCAGGCTCAGTGCTGTGAGCTCCCGCGAGGGCTCTTGGCGCGGCTGCACGACTCACCGTTCTCCACCTTGGTGCGCAGTTTGCCCTGCTTGGGGTTCTCAAAGAGAGGCTGGTGCTGGCTCTCCCCCGCCGTGCTCGCCTGGTCGCTGCACGATTTGTCAAAGAGGGCCCCATCTCCGCAGGGCGCCGTGCTAGAAACAAGCCAACAGCCCCCGCGAGTTACCTAGGGCCCGGAATCACAGCGCAGGCCTAGAGCAGTCCCCTCGGCTAGCTCTGCAGGACGCCGGGAGGGACGCCGGCACAGGGGTATGCCCAGGGCACCTGCGCATCACACCTGCCCATCCGAGCAGGGGGAGGGTGAATGCAGTTCAGATGGGACGCCCTTGGGACGCTGCAGAGGACTAGCTAGGGCACAAACTGCCGGAGCATGGGAAGGTCCCGGGACAGCCGGGGGCTCGTGCCCACCCGGGGCCAGAGGGCAGCGGGCGGGGAGGAGCGGGCAGCCCCGGCAGAGGTGAGCCGCCCCACGCGCCATGCAGACCTGACGTAGAGGTGAAAGGTGACGTTGTCTTTGATTTTGAGACTGTTGTCTCCTGCCGGCTCAAATATGCTCTGTTCTGTGGAGGAGGGATCGGCGGGATCGTACTTCATCAGCTCGCTGTAGAGGAACCTGGACACAAACCCGGTGGCTCAGAAGACGGCTCGTTCCAGAGACCAGAGTCAGCCGGCCCCCACACCCATCCCCAAGCGCCGTCTGTGCTGGCGGGGGGAAAGCGCTGGTGAAACACGCCAGGCGGCTGGCAGGTGAGTGCACGAGGGCGGGACGCTTAGGGGAGGGGACTGCGGAGAACACTTTGGAGCTGGAGAGTGGATACCCACAATCACCGACGCTCTGAGCTCAACATCCCCCCGTGAGCGGAGAGGGACTCTCGTGGGAGTGTGGGGAGCCACCCAACTGCTGCGCGCACACACCCCGAGCCCCTCTCCTCAGCACGCAGGTCACTTACGGGAAGAGCCCCAGAGGGCTGAGTGCGATCGATACCTTTCACACAGCCCCAGGGCCAATTTACAGTGACTGGCTGGCTTGTAGCCACCACTGTCCCAGTGCAGCGCAACCCCCGAGGCCTCTTACACACCGTCAAGGACCGGTGGAAAACTGCAGCTTCCCAGAGGTGCTTACAGCAGTGCCGGGGCTGAGACCGGCCCAGCTCCGTACGGTCGGCAAGGTCTTTTCCCTGCTCGCCCCCAGAGGTGGCAGGAGGGCCTGCCAGCCACAGCCCCCAGCTTACAGGGAAGGACCAGTCACTACGAAAAGTGCAGCTCACAAGCACATGGTTGTGCTAGCTCACTGAGCGGCTGGGGACCTGCTCCCTTGCCCTGGCTGGAGCACACGTTAAGGGCAGTGGCAGGCGGGACGGCTGTTTGGAGCGGCTGGGCAGGACTGGGACCAGGCCGGATTCCCCCGGCGCTATTACAACGGTGCAGTGCTAAATGCACGAGGGAGCAGAGCAACTGGGAAAGCGTTGCCCAGCAGACTGGCCTGGGTCAGACTCAGCGCCGTGCTGGGGGGAGCCGTGCACAGCACGGAGAGGGGCGCCGCTTCTGCGTGGGTCTCTTCGCCCTGCCCGACTGCAATCGGAGCCATGCTAGGGATGGAGCTGCCAACCCAGGGGCTGAGCAGGGCCCTGATGTGGGCAGAAGCCAGCCCTGCCACAGCCCAGCTCCGCCCACGCCGGGCGGCGGCATCCGCAGCGCCTCTGCACCCGAGTTCTCTGCTGAAGCAGACGCCGGCTGCGTTCCCGGGAGGGGTCTGCCTGCGGGGCACACGCGCCGGACAACACGGGCAGCCAGGCGTCTCCTTGGGTGCCTGTCTCCCGAGACTCCCGCCCAGCGGAGAACAAAGCCCCCCCTCACCTCACGAAGCCTCGCCGGGAAATGATTTCTGCGTGGCAGTCGTTCACTGTCTCTCCCTTCAGGCTCAGCTCCTCTCCCTTCACGCAGCGATTGCCTAGAGGGCAGGGGAGGGAGTCAGCCCCTGGACTCTGCCGAAAAACAGCGTTCTAGCTAGCCACGTATCACCCCCTGGTACGGCCCGGCCATGCCTGTCAGATGCCCACAGGACAATTCTACTCCCTGCCGGCCTCTCTAGATCAACTCAGCTTTACGCCAGGGATGCTTCAAACCTGGAGGTCTCGTCTGCCCATCCTGAGAAGCAAAGCAGGGCCAGCCCCCTCCGGAAAGGGGGTTCGGCCCTCGTGCTGTTTGACCCCAGGTGGGGAAATCCGCGCTCTGATGCACAGACCAGCATGAGGCAGGGCAAGCAAAGACAGAGCGATGCAGCTCGAGGCATGTTCACTTTGTTTCCTCCCTTTGGAACCAGATTGCTGGGGACACCATGTGAACCCGGGCAACGTTCTTTAACCCTGAAGGAGGATGCTCAGGGACCATGTCCCACGCGCCCCGAAGGAGCCCCCAGGAATGGCCAGTGCCTACTTCTTGTACGCTGCGTGTCTAGCCAGGCAGCCCGTGCCGGACATAGCTGCTCTTACCTGTGCCAATGCTGACCACAGCGCCCAGGCCCTCTTCTCCTCGCCGCATGATGATGGCAGCCAGGATCTTGCGCCCCAGCAGGCTGTGCTGGATGCGGGCCGTGAGGGCGTTGAAGCGCTGGTGGCTCAGCATCGCTATCTGATCGTGCAGGGTGCTGCCGCTCACAGGGAGCTGAAAGGGGAGACGGGACCGGCGTCGCTACGAGAGCGCAGGCAGCTCGCTCGTGCGCGTCGGCACACAGACAAGCAGGAAGCCCATCGGGAAGACAGAGGGGGGAGTCCAGAGCACACGAGTGCCAAGGGAAGAGCAGGCGAGTTGCCTGGGGCTGCACCAGCACCAAAGACTGAGGCAGGTTTGGATCGGAGACGCAGAATTACCCCGGCGTGGACAACTCCGCTCTCCCCAGGCCCCCAATGCAGTGCCGTGCCCAGCACCAGCAGGCAGCCTTGCTTCCCGACGGCGAGATGCACTGGGCTGAGGAACAGCCCCTCTACCCCCAGGAAGGAGTGAACCCAGCCCCCGTCACGGAGACTGTGCAAAACAGAGCAGCAAGGAACAATTCTGCCCTGGGACTTAGCCTGCAGGACCTCTCTGACCCTAGTGCCTAAGGAATTCTTCCTCCAGGTGCTTGAGGGGAGGCGCCGGGGCTGCCTTCTCTGGCAGTGCTCTGCCCCCCACCAGGAGCTGCCCTGCAGCAGGGAGCAGGCATCTTAGGAGGCCGCAGACATGAAGCAGGACTCAGCAGGGCACCCACTGGGACGACAATTCTGGCAGAGTGAGCTTTGCTCACGTCCGGTGGGCGGTCTTGGAACTGCCGCGTCGCATCGGAAGGTGCCACCAGACGGCGTAAGAATGAGACTCACCGAGTGCTCTTACACTCACTCCCCGGCCCTGCTTCCGCTGCTCACGGTTCCGCGCTCGGGGCCGGCAGTGGAAGAGCGAGTGTGCCCTACCGGAGTGCTCCAGCAGCTGCCAGAGCCACAAAGAGAACCTGGCACTCCCTTCCCCGGTCAGCGCTCGGCACAGCGCCCCCCTCGACCAAACAGCAGGAGGAACGACGGCCTCGCTCCGCCGGGGGGGGGGGAGGAGGACACGTTACCTCAGTGATGCTCACGCCTTCGGTGCGCACGGCCTTCTCCGTTTCCCCAATCAGGACTCTGAGCGCTGCATCGGCTGCTTCCTGCTTGCCCTGCTTTTTGCTGTGGGCCGTCACGGCCGGGAACCAACGCCCTCCGACCTTGGCCTGGTAGACAAACCTACAGAAGCAGCAGCAGCAGGTCACTGGCGGAGCGCTGGCTAAAAGCTACGTGGGTTTTACTCGTATTAGGGATGTGAAAGGGTAACTAATTAACCGGCAGGGGCTGGGGCAGCTCCCTGCCTGCTGTGGGTCGGGGCCGCCCCACCCCGCAGGGCACGCCGTGGACAGGGGCGCTCCAGCCCACCCCTCCTTTAATCGGCTAACTAGGTAAATAGCACATGGAACTGGTTAACCCATTCAACTATACATGCCTACTCTAGGGAGGAGGCTGGATGCCGCTCCGACAGCCATGCCAGACAGAGGTCGGCGCCAGCTCCAGCACAGCACACAGCGTGCCCGTTTTGTCCCGGCCACTTACTTTGGGTCGTGAGGGGGTCCCGTCTGGTTGATCATTTTGAACTCTGCTGCAAACCCATTGGACCGGGCATATTCCAGCAGGCCACTGACGGGATTGGCATTGAGGTATTTGATCAGCTCCCCGATACCCTTCGCTTTTTCTTCCTTTGACTCTTCTGGCTCCAGGAACGGCTCGCTCGGGACCTCCATGGAGGGCTAGAGAAGAGTTAGACCAGGTCAGCCAGTTAAATATTGAGGGACTGCATGGCGACTGTGCTCAGGCAGCCTGGGCTGCTGCCGACTGGCCTGCCAGGGAAAAATCCCGAGGAGGAGGAGTAAGGGGTATCTCTACCTGTTCTGGGAAGGACTGCCCCCCAGCTTCCCCACGGAGGATCTTCACTGCAACCTCAGCGGCCATCTGCTTCGCTCCCTTCTTGCTGTTGGCTACCACCGCGGGGAAAGTCTTCTCCCCCACCTTCACACAGTATTTGAACCTGGCAGGATGTCACAGCAGGAGACAAATGTTACGCCTAGAAGCTTGGATCTCTGCTTTGCACCCACTCCCTGGCCACGCTGGGCTAAAGATGCACAAGGAACATCTCCGAGTAGCAGCAGTTTAAGGCTATCAGGATGATGGGGGTGGCTCTGCCACGCATGGTACTGGGGCCTGGCCCGAGCTCTTGGCCCGGCCTGCTAGGGGAACGCGTACCTTGACAGCCTTCTGGGGCACACAGAGCCCCGAGGGAGCCAGGACCGATGTCCTGGAGCTAGGGGAGCCCTCAGATAACCCAGGGGGACAACCGGGGCGGTTCCTCTGACTGCAGAGAAAAAGGGAAGAATCCCTACCTCCCCGCCTCCCCACAATTAACAGGACGAGCCATACTTAGGGTCGTGGGGGGGTCCCGCCTGAGACAGCAGCTGGAATTCACACGTGCTCCCTGATTTCTGTCCATATTCCATTAAGATGCTGATAGGATTCTTCCCCGAAGACAAGTTTAGCTGGGCCGCTGCAGACGGCGGCTCTGGTTCTGGGAGTCCAGGCTGCAGCAGAAAAGGGGGAGAGACCAAAGCCCAGACCTCAGCCAAGTTCCCACTGACAGACTGAGTCAGCCAGGCACCGGCCTGGGGGCTGCACCTTTCTGCCGACGCAGAGAAACCAACTACAGTATGAAGCCAGCCTGGCCAGGCGACCGAGCCCCAAACGCATCAGGAGCCCGTCGGCTTGGCGCTGGGGGTCTGCCCCCGCACCTCTCACCAAAGCCTCTTTTGCTACAGAGCACGGGGGTCCTTCCTGCAGCAGTCAGGCCGATCTGGGCAACACCCAAATAGTGCCCAAGTGTGCCCATTCCAGAGAGGGAAAGGCACGGGAGGGAGCTGCTACCTAATATTGAAATAGCAGCCCCCCCCCCCGTCCATTTGGAATCAATTTCTTTTGGGCAAAGGACAATCTCTAGTAAACATCGCCCTCCCCCGACTCCTCGTGCTGGGCCCGCCAGTCCCAAACACCGCCCGCTTCGCACAGCGTCTGCGAATGGCAACGTGCAGCAGCCACAGAGCTGAGAGAACAGACACGGGGGCACGGAGGCTGCCCAGCCCCGACGGCATAGGACTCACCAAGTCTGCTTCTGAGCTGTCGGGAAGACACAGCTCCTCCCCTTCAATGCCATCCTCCCCTTCCGTCTCAGCTTCGTGCAGCAGGATTTTCATGGCGTTGGCAGCCGCTTCCTGCTTGGCCAGTTTTTTGCTGCCTGCCTCGGCTGGTGGGAACCGGCGCCCGTCGATCACCGCCTGGAACTTAAATCTTTGCATAGGGAGAGACAAGGACGAACATGTGACTGGCCACTCCAGACTCCAGCCCCTCCCTCCCGCACAGAACCCCTGGCTTGGCACTCGCGTGGGGAGGAGTCTCTGGCCCTCGCAGCGCGACAGCGCACAAGCCACGGCTGCAGAAGGGCCGGCTGACCTCAAGAGGCCGCCTGACTTTCGTGAGCCTTCCCAGGCTTCGTTTACAGCTGAGCCTACCTTCCCCGGTGGGCGTGACGGCAGAGCCCGACGAGGCTCGCCCCACGCTGAAGTGAGTCCCTTGTTCCAGGGGCATCGGAGAGCACACTGATCGTTAACTCGCTGGCTGCTCTCCCTGCCCCGCATGCAAACCCAGGCCTGTCTCCTGCACAGGGGAAGAAACGCTGAAAGCCGCCCTGGCAGCAGCCTGACCGGTCACATCTCTGCCTTGGGGTCAGCTGGACCCTCAGGCTGCATGTGCCTTGCCTGCATAGAGGGCACTTGAGAGCCGCGAGCTAACTCTGCACAGCATCTTTGCCAGGACTTTCTCTTTGACAGATCGGCCTGCACCAGCTAAGTTCCTTCTGGCAGCCAGCGCTTCCCTGGAAAGAGCAGGCTGAACTGCAGCCAGGGACAGGCCGTTGGGCTATCTCCTGTCAGAGAAAGACTGGGTTGTGTCTCTGGAATGCAGGCCAATTTTCCTATCTCCTGGGCCTTCTGACACAGTCCAGTGTGGCATGAACAGGGCTTTCCATGGTCGTGTCAGTGCTCAAAGTACCCTCAACAGACTAACCATGAAAGGCCCCCAAAACCCCCTCTGTGACTCTGCAAGCTTTGCCTCTGCTCGCACCGAGGAAGGCTGCTCTCACCCGCTATGCCAGCGAGGCAACAGCAGCTAGCAACAACCAGCAGAGCTGCTAAGTGGGCTCCCCAAGGTTAAATCCCAGCAGTACAAATGGCTTTGGAATAAGTAAACAGACTGGCACAAGACCACTTAGGAAGCCTACAGGACATTTCTCCCTCTCCTGGAGGGAGACATCAGCTTCTGTCCCTCTGTTCTCAGGGCAAACTTTCTCTCTCCAGGTTCCTGTGCTCTATGGCCCCCGGCCTTTACGACTTCCCCTCCTTTCACTCTTATTCCAGTCCTCTGGAGGCAGCTCTAGAGTCAATGGGAACTGCAACAGACGTGGCTCCTTTCAGTTTCCTTGCCAGCTGACAATTCAGCAGTGTGAAGTGCCAGGAAGGGGAGCATGGTGTGTTCCTTTTCTGGCCAACTCACTGGGGCTGAAGGGCTTCTGAGGAACAAGCCTGGTCGCTTTGGTAAAACTGTCTTTCCTATTTGCGTTATGGGACCTTGAGTCCTTTGGGTGAGGGACACAGAAAACCTTACAGGCGATTGGCCTGGATTCCCCTGGAGGAAGCACGGCAAATATTGGCACGCTGGCTCGGAAAAACTAGGATAATGCGATTGGACCGGGATTAAATTGAGGCTGCACAGAATCATAGAAATCTAGGGCTGGAAGGAACCTTGTGAAGCCATCGATCCAGCCCCCTCTAGACTGTCTCCAGTTTGTCCGCATCTTTCTTAAATTGTGGGGTTCAAAACTAGGGGTGTGAAGGTTAATCGGTCAGCATCACCCTTGCTGCGTGATGCTTTCTGGTTACGGTTAACTGGTGGGGACTGCAGCAGCAACCCCCCCCATCATACTGTGGGCAGGGGCGCCCCAGCCCAACCAGCTCCTGCCTGTCCCCATTTAAGCGTTTAACTGATTAAACCGGATTTCTCATCCTATTCAAACCTGGACACAGGACTCCACAGAGACCGGGGCGGGGAACCTTTTCGGGGTCGAGGACAGAAAAATCAGTCGGGGACAACACACAAGTGAGAAGCAAAAACCGCCCAAACAAAACCAAACCTCATGGACTGAAGAGCAGCAAAAAAAATAGACAAGACACCCACATACCTCACTTGCCCTCCTCAGCCTTTCGGACTTTCTCCCTCCACCCTCCCGCTATTCTTTTGTCTCCCTTCTTAGCAGCGTGACCACGTTTCCACTCTTCACTGGATTCCCTTTTGATCCCCAGGTCAATGAGAACTCCTGCTGGAGCCACGTCTCTTACTATTCTTCCCGTCTGTCCGTGGCATTGCAATAGTTTGCGGTGGTGCCTTTAACAGCTCCCCGAGGAGCTGCCTGCACTCCTGAATTCCATTTCCCCTTAGATTTTCTTTCCCTGGAACCTTGCTCACCAGTTTGCTGAGTCTGTTAAAAGTTTTCTGAAGCTCACTGTTTGTATTCTGCAGCTCTCCCTTCCTTTCCTTAGACTCGCAAAATCTGTCATCTCATGATCACTTTCACCCCCCCCCCCCCCTAACCATTCTCCCTGTCTGTCAGCGTCCAGTCTAAAATGGCCGGGCGCTCCTCTGGTTACGTCCTCGTTTTCTGGAACAAAATGTTGTCTCTAGGAACTTAGTGGAACTGTTGTGGTTTGCCGTCTTATGCTCCCAGCAGATGTCTGCGCAGTCCAGGTCTCCCACGACCCCTCATGCACCTTCCTCTCCTGATCGGGAGGTCTCTAGCAGACCTGAATAAGACACCACCCCCATTTTTTAACCCTTTTAAGCTTTAACTTGAGGCTCTCAATTGATCTGCCTCCCACCTGCTTCTGGACCTCAGACGAAGAGCACATATCCATAAGAATGGCTGTACTGGGTCAGACCAAAGGTCCATCTAGCCCAGTAGCCTGATTTGTCTTGTGCCATCCATCTCCAGCCTCTGACAAACAGAGGCCAGGGACACCATTTCTATCCCCTGGCTAATAGCCTTTTATGGACATAACCTCTATGAAATTATCTAGCTTCTCTGTAAACTCTGTTATAGTTCTAGCCTTCACAGCCTCCTCAGGCAAGGAGTTCCACAGGTTGACTATGCGCTATGTGAAGAAGAACTTTCTTTTATTAGTTTTAAACCTGCTACCCATTAATTTCATTTAGTGTCCTCTAGTTCTTCTATTATGGGAACTAATAAATAACTTTTCTTTATTCACCCTCTCCACACCATTCGTGATTTTATAGACCTCTATCCTATCCCCCCTCTGTCTCCTCTTTTCTAAACTGAAAAGTCCCAGTCGCTTTAGCCTCTCTTCATATGGGACCCGTTCCAAACCCCTCATCATTTTAGTTGCCCTTTTCTGAACCCTTCCCAAGGCCAAAATATCTTTTTTGAGGTGAGGAGACCACGTCTGTACACTTTGTAGAATACAACCCTCTCTTCCCTCTTCTCCCTGCCCTGCTTTCTGAGCAAGCTAGGCCCCTCTGTGCCAACATTCCAGTCGTGAGATTATCCCCCCGAGCCTCTGTGAGAGCAATGAAATACTCATTTAGCTCAGGTGCTACACGTACATCTCTTTAAGCAGAACAGACTAAGAAAGGCCACGGTCTCCTTCTCACCTTGGTTCATGCGAGGGTCCGCTCTGCTCCAGGAGGGCAAACTCGCAGCGCTGGTACGTGTACTGGCTGTACTCGATGAGGCCGCTGACAGGGTTCTTTTCCTGACAAGCCATCAGCTTCTCCAAGGGCGTACACTGGAAAGCCGTGTCAAACTGGGCAGCGTAGCTGGGCGAGGAGGGGGACTCCATGATGCATCGCAGCTCGTCCACAGGCTGACTGATGGCATTCAAGTCATCGGGAATGTCGTCCGTGGCCCAGTTTCTGTTTTCAGAGCTGTCATAGTTCAGGAAGCGGTATCTAGACTTCCTAGCGAGCAGGCCTGGGTCGGGGCCACTGGGGTCAGGCTGGTCTGTCTGCTCCAAGGGCTGCTGTCCATTCTTCACGTTTTCCTCTTCCTCCATCTTTATTTCTGGCAAAGGCAACACAGACTCCTGCAGTTCCAGCTTCACACAGGCGGCTGGAGGCTCTGGCTCTGGAGGGGCCATTTCCATTACTTCGTTGGCTTTTATCTTGATCTGCATCCGCTCCCGTTTCTTGTCCGTGAGGGACCATTTGGGGGGGTTTGAGTTCTCCTTGTGGACCTCTCCCAGTTTTTCCAAGGCACCGAGAGTGGGATTAACATCCCTGGCCTTCGAGAGACCTACGTTTTTTGCAAGGTTGGCTGCTGTAGAGTCTTTGACAGTGAATAAATAGTTAGAGATTTTCTCCTTGAGTTCAGCCATGATGGCAGAGTCAATACCGTCTTCCGAGTCAACCGGGGAACTTTCCTCCTGACTCTCAGAGGCTGTGTCCGGGCAGCGGTTCCCGTCGGTGGTAGCACTTCCTTCCCACCGGGTCCCTACAGAGCCAGCTTTGTCCGCAATCCGCCACAAGGGGGGAGTGTCTCCTGTTTTATGCAATTTGCCTTCCCGGAGAAGTTTGTACAGACAACGATTGACTTCTTTCTTTTGGGTCTGAAGTTTACGGACAAGGTCTCGAACAGTACACGACTCCCCCTGCCTGAGCTGCCCTAAAAGGGTTAAAATTTCTTCCTCCCTCTCTGGCCCAGCAACAGACAGTCTCTGGAAACTCAGGGTGAAATGGTCCAACTCCCTTTCGGACTTTCTGTTGTACTGAGCTGGGGGGTAAAGTGGTAAGCTGCGCGCTTGCTGACTGTGATACGGGGGTCTAAATCTCCCAGCTGTGCCCCAGCTGGTGTGCCCACTCCCTCTAGGACTTGGTACAGCAGCTTGCGGACCTCTGAAGCGTTGCTCAACTGGTGTCCTTTGTTCCCTAGATGGGCACAGGGGAGCTTCAGGGACTTGCCCCCATAGGAACTGTACCTGCAGGTTTCTGAAGCTGTTGAGGTTACTTTCCTGTGGGACAAGAGGGTTGTTAAAAAAGGCTGGATTAGGACTGAAGCAGTTAGGTTTTGGGGGTGTTTGATAAGAGCCTTTGCCTCGACCAAAACCTCTGTTCATAGCGTGCTGCTGGAGTGCAAGTGTGAATCTGGGCTCTTGCACACCAGAAGAGAGGCAGCTGTGGTTCACTTTCCACTCGCACACTTGCTGCACAGAGGCCTGCCAAAAGGAAAGAACAAGGGTTCAAAACTCAGTTATACTCCCAGACCTAAAGCACGACCAGCCTCTCCGCTCCGAGACAACGTACGACCACTTTCTTGTCTAAGCCTTCCAACAGCCTCCAAGCCCTGCCACTGTGCTACTCACGCACACCAGGTGAACAAAACGGACTAAGTGCTCACCCACGCCCCTGCCCCAACACAAAACTGACCTGGAAGGAATGCCCAACGAGCCACCAATGAGAAACAACTCAGAGCCCTCACTGGCTGCTTAGTGTTTCAGGCTGCTTCATGCGAATAGTTCAATCAGGATTATACTTTGCCCTTTCATCCAAGGATCTCAGCACAATGCGCCTGTTTCTCATATGGGAAAACTAAGGCCCAGAGAGGTCCAGTGGTTCGCCAAGAGTCCCACAGATAGTCTGCGGAGTGAGGAATAATCCACAAATGGCTGACTTGGAGCTCAGTCGACAAAAACCTCTCTTCCTCCCTTGATGGAGTGCGATCTAGGCAGCCAATTCTCTCATTTCATGATGCTATAAAGCGATAACATACACGGGAAACAGATAGCACGGAGGATTGGTAATAGGATGCAGAGCCTTTTAGGGCTGCAGTTCCGATAAAGCTCACACCAGTCACAAAGGAAGCATCATCACCCGATTACCTGTGAATTCTGGCCTGGCTGGAACCAATGGCACACTTCATTTTTAAAAATTAAAGAAAAAGATAGCCACTGTTATGGACTGGGATGCTCTAACCCAGAGACAGAAGCCACAACCCCAGCAGAACATTTATGCTCCAGATCTTTCTAAGGCAGGTGTGGGCAAATATTGGCCCCTCCGACCACTGTATTTACCTGTGCCTCCGCAGGTAGGGGGAAATCACAGGTCTCGCTGCCCACGGATCAGCATTCCCAGCCAATGGGAGCTGCGACTGCCTGTACCCACGGAGGTGCAGGTAAATATAGCAGCAGGGGCTCACCTTGGTGACCCGCCGCCGCTTTTATTGCCCATCCCTGTTCTAAAGGCACCTATGGAGGAATATACCTGATTCTTGACCCCCAGACACAGAAAGCGACCAAGTGGGGGGGATATAAGTGGGTTGATAATTCTATCATCTTAGCAGTAGGGAGAAAAATGCAGGGCATGGCAAGTGAGCGCTTGCAAAAAGCCGCCGCTCCAGGACCCCAAACACTAGCACACTAGCCGTGCCAGTAACGTCAGGCTTATGGTGCAGAATCAAAGCCATGTCTGTCTTTACAAGCTGGCAGTGAGAAGTCAGTATCGATACCAAGAGCTCTCCCACTGGCATAATAAAACCAGCTCAAGAAGCGGTTGTCCACAGAAGTGCTGATGCAGGCAAAATTCATGTCGCGAGGGGGTGGGGGCAGAAATGCATAGGTGTTTTTTCATGCCCCTGAGCAACAGAAGTTTTACCGGCATAAGTGCTAGTGTAGACCAGGGATGTGAACGTGTAACCGTTCACACGGTTAGTCGATAAGCCTGGGCTCATCGGTTAATGGGCATGGTCACCCCCCCCCCGCCTCAGAGGCACCCGGGGAAGGGGGAGCAGCGCACGCACCAGCTCCCCCCAGCCCTGCGTGTAACAGCTGAAATTGTCAGCAGTTCCACAGTTAAACAATTACATGCATTTTAACATCCCTAGCACAGACACGGCCAAAGACGTTCTCAGGCCATCTGAAATGTCACTGGCACTAAACGGAGAGACGGGCTGCAACTGCATTTTTCCCCGGTTCAAGCCATACTTATACCAAGCGATGTGCTCGGGATATTGAGCGCAGTGGCTAGGTGTGCTACATCTCCTTGTTTCCCGAGAGCAACAAGCTGCCCTTTTCTGGCACATGGCCATTACAGCCCTATTAGTTACCAGGACACACAGGCCTGTTCCACTGGCCGAGTGTAAAAAAAATCCTTAGTACACACAACATGCCTGGAGGAGGAAGTCTGGGTTAGATGTTGCTCTTACCTTGCTGTGGACCGCGCTGGCAAGTGGAATTCATTTAACTGAGCAGAAGGTAAAGAACTCCTGTTCCCAAACTGTAAACTATCACAACTTCGCCCTGAACGGTCCTTTAGAACACGGGCTGATTACTTAAGCTTAGTGCCCTTCCCAGCACCACAGCAGAGATCTGTGCACCTTCAAAGCCCAGCTCCCTCCTCAAAAGCTGGTCCCACAAAAGATGTTGCCTCCCCCGCCTTGTCCTCTCTAGCCATAGACTCAGCTGCTAGCAGGAAAAGCTGAAAACACCAAAAGGCCAGAAGCGGCTTTCCCCTGTGCCAGCCAAAGGGTAGGGAGGCAGAGCTCACAAACAGCTCCTAGATACTGAGCAACTCGGCACCTTGGCACATTTTACAAACAACAGAAACAGGCTAGTCGCCCCTTCCCCTCTGTCCAGCATGGAGCGAACAATTTAATCATCCACTCCGGCAGCTTAAAATGGCTCCAAGTTAAGTTTCAGTTTCATTTTCTCCCAGCTAACTCTCGCTTCTCTGGTTTGCCTGGTGTCCTCTTTCACTGAGGGGTTGGGCAGCACCTACTGCCCACGGCGAGTCTGCTCCATAACCCTCCCAGGCAAGAAAGGGACTGCTTCCACGCAGCGCCCACGCATCTGCCCTCTTCTCCCCATCTCCAGCTGCTGCTGGCTCTTCTATAAACAGCGCCTGACACATTTTTACCAAACTGTGCAGCTCCCCACCCGCCACAGGCAGGGGGCCGGACAGGGTGCCCTGGTCCACCACAGGAAAGGATCCTCCAGCCCGGCCAGTGCAGCCCCTGCCTGCGGCAAGGGGCCGCTCCAGCCCCCCACCCAACCTTTAATCGGCTAACCGGTTAAAAGGGATTTTACAACCCTATTACACAGACTTTGCAGTTGGGAATGTCTCATTCCTAGGTGTATTGCTGGCCCTCCAGATAGCTGGTTTTAGCTTCCTTCTTGTTAGAAATTGATGAGAGGAAGGGTGAGACAGAAAGGAGACTGGAAAAGTTTCTTGGAGGCAGATTTTGTTTGGCAGGAATTTAAAGCTATAAATCCGATTCCTGAGAGCATTCCTCACTCTGTTCCGAGGATGCTCCCACCTATGCTCCCGAACCAGAGCGCGAAACTGACTAGAGTCCAGCAGGGACATCAGCTGTTGAATCCCTCTGGCCTTGAGGAAATCAACCCTCTCAGTGGCACAGCTGTGCGCGGGCAACACTTCTCCTGCCTCTGAGAGAGGCGGTAGCTATGTCAGCAGGAGAAGCCCTCCCATCCACACCGCTCAGCCCACACCTGTACTCAGGGCGGGACTGCGGATGATGGGCAGGGGCGTGGATTAGTCACATCCTGAGCAACATCAGTTATACCGAAGCAAGTTTTAGAATCAAGGGCTCAGAGCTTGCTTCCTTAGCTGTCTGGACGGGCTACAGGGCTCCCCTATCCAACAGGAGTGTAGCGAGGAGTCATTCCTAGGGATGTAAAATTTCAATTATTAGGCTAATTGATTAGTCGACACAATTTGCATCAACTATTCAATAAGGGCACTTCAAAGGAGAAAGAGCGTGTCCCCTGCTGGCCCCGTGCTCCCCGCAGCATTTCAAAGTGGCAGTGCAGCATGGAGCCTGAGGGTCAGCTGAGGACTTCCCTGTGGATCCCAGGCTCCATGCAGCGCTGCCGCTTTGGAGCACCCCCTCCCTCTTCCCACCTCTTTCTGATAGGAACAGCAAGGGGAGGGGGTGAGTAGTCGATTAGCCTGTTGACTATCCGATAAGCATCTGCTTATCAGATAGTTGACTAGTCGACCACATCCCTGTTCATTAGCTATCATTTATAAGAGGGTTTTCACAGGCACAGCTGGGAAAGACGCGCCGTATCCATCCCTTGCATAATCACAATGAAGCCAATTCTTGTCCCTCGGGCTTAGCCTGGATTGCCAGCAATGCCCCAAGCCTGGGAACCTGCCAGCCCTTCCTTTGGGGAGGCAGTGGATGCAGCGGGCAGAGAACCACCAAGCTACTGTGTGACTCTGGGCAGCCACCTTTCCTGTCTGTGCCTCCTCCTCCCGCCCCACACGTCTGGTCTATTCGGACAGACAGATCCTTGAGGCAGGGACTGTCTCTTACTACCCTGTAGGATGAACATTTCGGAGGCAGACTATGATATTCTGTTAAGAACCCCTATTGTAAATTTGGAGTCTGGTACTGACACATGAACACAGTACATGATAGTTACCCCCCCCCCACACACACACAGCCCAGGGTAGGAGACAGGTCACGACACATTCAATGCTGTTAGGCACAACTGTGCCATTGTTAAGCACTCCATGGCTACGTCTACACTGGCATGATTTTCCGAAAATGCTTTTAACGGAAAAGTTTTCCGTTAAAAGCCTTTTCAGAAAAGCACGTCTAGATTAGCAGGATGCTTTTCCGCACCATTTTCGCGATCGGGGCTTTTTTGCGGAAAACAGCACTGTGCTGTCTACACTGGCCCTTTTGCGCAAAAGTCTTTTGGAAAGACTTTTGCCCAAACGGGAGCAGCATAGTATTTCCGGAAAAGCACTGATGATCTTACATGAGATCGTCAGTGCTTTTCCGGAAATTCAAGCGGCCAGTGTAGACAGCTGGCAAGTTTTTCCGCAAAAGCAGATGATTTTGCGGAAAAACTTGCCAGTCTAGACACAGCCCTAATGTCTCTGCTTTCATCCCCAGATGGACCACATCCTGCAGATACACCTTCTTGAAGCTGGCAGACATAGCACCACTTAACTGATGATTGATAATTGAGGTCTGCGTTGTTCAAATACATGTTTTACTGGAAACACTATGTAACTTTATATTATTGTTCTTATCTTGCCTTACTATTAGCATCTATCCAGGGGGTCCAGGATCTTTCCCCTCCCCCATCACTTTGATCTGCCCATTGAGCATCCTATAGAATCAGTTGTAACCTATTGTTTGGCAGTGTTCACATGGCCCTGACAAGCAATGTGACACTCCAACAGC